TCTTCCTAGTTCAGCGTGGGTGGAGCTCAACCTTTCGCTCGGATGTGTGCTCTCAGAGGCTTCAGAAACCCTTACGGTGTCCCAAGATGGGTGTCTGGGCAGAAAGAGAGGAAGCTCAAACAAAGACCCGAGCAGTAATTTTTGTTATTCTTCCCCCAATACTCTTTTTTTTTTTTTTGAGTTGGAGTATCACTCTGTCAACCAGGCTGGAGGGCGGTAGCACGCTCCCGGCCACCGCAGCCTCGACCTGCTGGGCTCCGGCGATCCTTCCGCCTCATCCTCCCCAGAAGCCAGAACTACGGGCATGCGCCACCACGCCCATCTAATTTTTTGATTTATTGTAGAGATGAGGTCTCGCCAAGTTGCCCAGACTTATCTCAGACCTGCGAGCTCTGGCAGCCCTCTCACTTCGACCTCCCAAAGTGCTGGGATTATAGGCGTGAGCCATCGCGCTCGGTCACCCCAAGACTCTTCTAACTACCTTTTTGTTTCTGTTGGTTTTGTAACGAAGTTTTGGTCCCCTTCCAAAGTTCTTAGGAAAGCATCTCCGGAGAAGATTAATCTCTGAGAAGCACTGTGGTCAGATCATCTGCAAACCTGGGGCAATTTAACAGGCACAGCGCAGCCCCTTAAAGTCTGCAGCCCAGAGATGCATAGTTTTAGAACTGCCTTCCTTTCTTAAGACTTGAGACCCGCTGTCTTTGGCAGCAAACTTTAAGGCTGTCTAGGTCCTGCAGCTTATACATTTATGTCATGTACGTTATTTACGTAATACACTAGTTTACTGAATTTCAATCCAGAACAAAATTCTGCCAAGGAGGTTAACAATAGTAAAGTCTCACATTCTGTGCATTTTGAAATGTTTTTTCCATTTTGGCATTAACTGTTTTTTTTGGATGCAGTGGCCGCGCCCAGCTACCGCAGCCTCGATTTGGTGGGTTCAGGCGATCCCTCCGCCTCAGCCTTACCAGTAGCTGGAGCTACAGGCACGTGTCACCATGCCCGACTAATTTTTTTTTTAATTTATTGTAGAAATGAAGTCTTGCCAAGTTGCCCAAACTGATCTCGAACCCTGTGGGCTCAGGCAATCCTCTTACCTCGGCTTCCCAAAGAGCTGGGATTATAGGCGTGAACCACCGGGCCGGCATTAACTTTTTGACACTTGATTCTACACAATTAAGTTCTATGGAGAAAGCAGAATTTGATGAGAAATACATAAGGAATATGATTCCTTTTTTTTTTTTTTTTTTTGAGTTGGAGTCTCACTCTGTCGCCCAGACTGGAGTGCAGTGGCCGCTCCCAGCCACTGCAGCTCAACCTGCTGAGCTCCAGCGATCCTTCTATAGCAGGAAAAATAGAGAGATCATGACACCAAGACTATTATAGAAGTGGTCCTTTATTATGCTGGCTAGCACAGCGGCCCGAGAATTTCATGCATCCAAATCAAGCTCGAGCACCCCAGAACAGGAGACGTGGGGTCTTATACCCTCGTTTAGGTAAGGGAGGGGGGTTGTGTTGAGTGATTACATATTTCCTTTGGAATCTTACAAGATTGTACTCAGCAAAATTAGATTTTTCAAAGAACAAATGGTTTCCAGGAACTGTAGGCTTGTAAACTGTTAACTTCATAAGGGGGGTTTTTGGATAAGTCTGTGAATTAGCCACTCTTTTTGCATATCCATTAAATGGCTAGTCTTTGGGCCATTTGGCCTTTCCCAAACAAAACCTGCCTGGCGCTGGGGCGGGTCTTTTAAAGTTGCAACTTGCCTTTCAAAAGGAAATACCTTTAATTGCAATCAACTCCTTTCCTGCCCTGGGCTAGTGATTGCCATTAGGCCAACTGTTGATCCTGAACCAGCTACATGTTTCTGTGTTTATTCACTCAATCATACAAGAAATATATTTGAGCATTTGCCGCATCCTGCCACACTTCCGCCTCAGCCTTCCGAGTAGCCGGAATTACAGGCATGCACTTCCATGCCCGGCTGATTTTTTTATTTTATTGTAGAGATGAGGTCTCGCTGCCCAGGCGGGTCTCAAACCCGCGGGTTCAGGCAATCCACTCACCTCAGCCTCCCAAAGGCACGGGATTACAAACTGAGCCACCGAGCCCGGCTAGGGATATGATCCCTAAACTGGACACGGGGGTTCACTCTTATAATCCTACCGACTCAGAAGGCTGAGGCAGGAGTTCTGCTTGAGCCCGAGGAGTTCAAGGCTGTAGTGTGTCATGATCATGCCCCTGTCCTCCAGCCTAGCCAATACAGCAAGACCCCCAACTCAAAAAAAAAAAGTGTGATTCCTAGAAATTTAAAAACCCGGCCTGAGGCTTTTGTTTTGTTTTGAGTCAGGGTCTTCCTACTTTTCCCAGGTTGTACTTGAGCCCTAAGGCTCAAGGAGTCCTCCCAATCTCAGCCTCCCAAACTGCTGGTTTCAAATTCCTGGCCTCAAGCCATCCTCCTATTGTAGTCTCCCAAAGTGTTGGAATTACATGAGCATCAGACTTTTTAAAAATTTATTTTAGGAACTGTTAAATTGGTAGAGGAGTGGTTTCCAGGTTCACCTTAAACAAGGAGGGGAATGGGTCCTTGGCAGAGAGTTTTGGAAACTTTTGTTTTAATGTGGGTTTGGAAACCTGTGGCTGTCATCCAGTTATCTACAGTACCAATTCTTTAATCTGGAATTCCATCTCTGCTGTGTCTACAAACTGCTTTTCCCATGGAATCCCCCCCTTTTTTTTTTAAGTCAGTTTTAATCCAAATCTTATGCTTTCATGCAGTTGCTTCCTCAGTTCATGCTAAATGGATTGCTTCCTCCAGAATGTATTTTCCCTGTCACATAGTGATGCCCGTCTTCTAAATTCAGTCAATCTGACCAGGCCACAGTGGCTAATGCCTCTAATCCCAAAATTTTGGGAGGCAAAGACAGGAGGATCGCTTGAACCCAGAAGACCTCATCTCTACAAAAAATCAAAAACTTAGCAGGGTATGTTGGCATGTACCTGTAGGCCCAACTACGTGAAGGATCACTTTAAGTTCAGGAGGTTGAGGCTGTAGTGAGCCAGGATCTCGCCACTGCACTCCAGCCTGGGTGGAAGAATGAGACCCTGTCTCAAAAAAATAAATAAATAAATTTGCCAATCATATATTGCTTAGTGATAATGATTTTTACTGGAGTTTTATTATTTACCCCTGCATTTTGATTTCTGTCTTCAAGTGCCTATATCTTATGTAATGGGTACATTTTATGTGCTTCCTGAGATTTCCTTGACCTTGTTTGCTTTCTGTACCCATAATCACTCACTCTACGTGGGGCTGACCAGTTGCATTTCTGAAATCTCAGGCTTCTCCTGCCACTTTTGAACAGTGTAGGGGCTGGCTTCTCAGTGGCTGCTAGGAGAGCCTGGATGATACATGCTGGAAGTATGGGGAGGGTCACTCCCCTTGGTGCAACTTCAGTCAATTGAAGACAGACCAAGTGAGCACAAGAGATAGACTCCCTTTTCTTCTTCCTTCCATGGTATGGTTGTTCTCTAGAGTGTTTAGAGAAGGACAAGACTGAACGAAAGTAGTGAATGCACCTGCTGAGTCTCTTGTGGTTCATCTTTAAGGAGGAGCCAGCAAGGTAACATATCACCTCGTATTACCTCACATCCTTCTCTACCTAACTTCCTTCCAGTGAGTTACCTTACATGGCTCTGGTTGTCCTGAATTTCTGCCTCCCAAATAAAGCATCAGCACTTAATCCTTGCCTCGAGGGCAGGGTCCACATTTTTTAATGTTTCTATTATTCACAGCACTAGTCCATGACATTTGATGTTCCATAAATATTACAAGTAAATGGTCAGTATGTGAGTATTCCCTTGCTAGTATAAATAACTATGGTACTGTACTAGAGAACAGATGTACACAACATACAATTTATTGCATCTCATGATGTATTTGTGAGGTGTTTATTGTTTAATAGGTAATACATTCACATGGCTCAAGATTCAAAATGTACAATATGGATGAATAGTGAGAATAGTTTCTTTTATCTTTGATCTCTTAGCTGTTTTTCCTAGGATAACAAATATTATCACTTTCTTATGTATCTCTGCAGAAGATGTTTATGGATATAAGTTAATATGCATCATATATATTTGTTTTTGCCCTTTTTTCCACTTAACAATGTATATTGGAAACAATTATTTGGAAGACAAAAATACATCTTGATGATAACATCACATCATTATGCAAAGACCTTCTTCATTCTTTTATGAGGGGGGACCCCCCAAAATAACCCCAGAATTATTTTTTGGAGGGTGAGCCACTTGTAGTACGGGGTTACCCCACTAGTGAGTGTTCTAGGAACCCATCAGCATCAGTGTACCAGCTAGCATTGTGAGAGGCTGTGTTTGGCTTCAGTGAATTTTTTTTGGAAATTCTTTCAATGTGTTTGCCTGTTTCATCATGGGTAACATACGAGCACACCTGCCTATCATGAAACGGGCAAACAGCAGTTTTTGACCAAAATGCCATGACCCTGGTGCCCCACCCTCCCTATTCACCGGATCTCACCCCAAGCAACCTTTTTTTTTGTTTGTTTCCCCGGGTGAAACAAGTCCTCAGAGGGAAACATTTTGCGATGTAGAAACCAAAAAATGGCAGAAGCACTAAAAGGCATCAAAATTGACCAGTTCAAAAACTGTTTTGAGCAGTGGAAAAAGCCTCTCTGTAGGTGTGTTGCGTCAAACGGAGAATACTTTGAAGGTGATTGAAGTTTAAACACATAAAAATAAATACACCTTTTAAAAATAAACACTAGTTTTTTGGGGTCACACTTCCTATATGGCTAAACAGAAAGTATCCATTGTATCAATTTGTCACAATTTCTTTAACATCCCCTCAATTTTTGCTAACAAAATAAGCCTGTAGGTGGTTTCTCTCCCCCATGCCAGCTCTGGCATGTCTCCCCTTCTTTCCTCTTATCTTTCACTGATAAACTTTATTTTGAAAAACAAAAACAGGGCAGTCCCCTCCCACTGTGGGAGCTTTTTTGCCCTCTCAATAAATCCTGCTTTCTTTCTTAGAAAGAAAGGAAGGAAGGAGGGAGGGAGGGAGAGAGGGAGAGAGGGAGAAACAGAGAGAGAGAGAGAGAGAGAGAGAGAGAGAAAGAGAAGAAGAAGAAGAAGAAGGGAAGAGAGAAAGAGAGAAAGAGAGAAAGAGAGAAAGAGAGAAAGAGAGAAAGAGAGAAAGAGAGAAAGAGAGAAAGAGAGAAAGAGAGAAAGAGAGAAAGAGAGAAAGAAAGAAAGAAAGAAAGAAAGAAAGAAAGAAAGAAAGAAAGAAAGAAAGAAAGAAAGAATCAGTCAGGCGCAGAGGCTCATTTCTGTGATCCCAGCACTTTGGGAGACAGTGGCGAGAGGATTGCCTGAGCCTGGGGTTTTGAGACCAGCCTGGGCAACATGGCGAGACTTCATCTCTACAACAAGTCAAAAAATTAGCCAGGCGTGGTTCCAGCTACTTGGAAGCCTGGGGCAGAAGGATTACCTGAGCCTAGCAGGTCAAGGCTGTGGTGGCCGTAAGTGTGCCACTGCACTCCAGCCTGGGTGACAGAGTGAGACTCTCACTCAAAAACAAAAAAACAAAATGAAACAAAATAAGCCCATAATAAATAAATTGTGCCTATTTCTTTCTCTCTCTCTCTTTTTTTTTTTTTTTTGCCATTTGCAAGATAAATTATTAGAAGTGGAATCACTAGGCCATAGGGTAAAAGTTTATTTTTTGACTGATGGTATCAGCTCTTTGAGGGAGGACTTTTGCTCTTCAGGAGCCCTCACTACTTTCCCCTTATCAATGACCTGAACAGCCCTCAGCAAACCATCCTGCAGGACCTGGTTCTTTACCATATTCGTAATCATTAACGTGACATCCCTGATGTACATCTGTCTCACTTGAGCAGCATAGTGTTCTGCCTTGCTAGCATGTGCAATAAAGAAGGTGCAAAGTGCTGTAATGTCTCCTTCTTGCAGCCCACACTCCTCTAGGACAGACTCCCAGACAACTCTAATGCGCTTGTTCTTAGCTTTTCTTCTAAGGACAGAGGCTAAGGTGGGAAGACCTCTCACCAGGTCTGGTAGCTTCTCAAGCACACGAGTGTGCAAGCAGACAAGTACTTCAATGACGTAACTGTAAAGAATATTCAATTCCATTGAAGTGAACCTACAAAAAACATGGAAAGTTTCTTAAGCAGTTGAACACTTTATATGTAGAGACATAAAATGAATTCTGTTAGGATAATTCAATACAAACCCACTAGGAGAATCAACTGTTGTAATTTAGAAAATACTTACTTTAGAATTAGAGCCTGCATTAAAATGGATAGTTGAGTTCTCAGACTGCTCATACTACAAGTTCCTCAACAGCAGGAGAGTTATATTATTCATCTCTGTGCTAGCAAGGCTTTGGCAAGCAAGAGTCTGTGTGATGTGATATGTATCACAGTGCCTGGCATATAAACAGGTGCTCAAATTAATCTTTTTTTAAATAAATAAGTCCAGGGAAATGAAATTTCTTTACAATTCATTGTTGAAATCATATTAAGAAATTCAATTTTGGGGCAGGACACAGTGGCTCACACCTGTAATCCCACCACTTTAGGAGGCCAAAGTGAGAGGATTGCTTGCACCCAGAAGTTCAAGACTAGCCTAGGCAACATAGCAAGACCTCATCTCTACCGAAAAAAAGAAAAAGAAAAGGAAATTCCGTTTTGGAATGACCACTAGAAGCTCTCACAAAGCCCTCAAATTCCACTGACTTGTCAATCAATACTTACTTGAGTGCCAGAACTGCATTCCACATCTCATCTTGGACTGTTTGGCTTGCCAAATTCTTACTATGATGTTCAAATTTCTGTGTCAGATTATCCTTGGTGAAGTCCAGTTCTTTAAACTGTGCTTCTAATGCTTGGAGTTTGTGGTCTACTCTATAGGATAAAAGAATCAAGGGTTAGTTTAGATCAGGGGACAAAACCCAGATTTCGTTGTAAGCTAAGGCTCTAATATATTGTTTACAACCACTACCAAATTCTGGTAACTATTTAAATTAAAATTATGGACAAATGTTCCCATTTGCCATTCCCTTTAGCTATCATCCTTGTTCTTTCATTCCTTATATTGCCAAACTTTTGAATTGTCTAATTACTTGAATCATCTACCATGTCTTGTCTTTGTATTATACTTTAAAGAATATTTTAGGTTGGGTGTGGTGGCTCATGCCTGTACAACCCCAGCATTTTGGGAGGACAAGGCAAGAGGATTGCTTGAACCCGGGAGTTCAAGACCGGCCTGGGCAACACTGCAAGACCTTGTTTCTACAAAAATAATTAAAAATTAGCTGAGCATGGTGGCACACACCTGTAGTCCCAGCTATTACTCAGGAGGCTTAGGCAGAAGAATTGCCTAAGCCCAGGAGGTCAAGGCTGCAGTGAGCCATGATTATGCCACTGCACCATAACCTTGGTGACAGAAAGAGACCCTGACACAAAAAAAGAGAGAAAGCAAACTAATGAACAAAAGAAAGAAAAACAATCATTTTTGTTATTTTACAGTTAAAGAAATTGAATCCCCAAAAGATTGACATTTAACGTCATAAAGCTAGCTAGTGCTGGAACCAGTATACAATAAGGTAGCTTTTGTTACCCTATTCTGATTGTCCAAATCCTGTCCTTTCCTCGAGGATTAGCTAAAATTCCACTGCCTTCTTGACTCCCCTTTCTATCTGGAGAGCTCTCCTAGCTCTGTCTCACACGGACTGCCTCTCCCACCCATCACTCCCCGCTCTTGCTTTATTTTTACAGTTAGCTTTCCTAACTCTAAAAACTAAACGATAAGTTCTTAAAGGGAGAGGATCAGAGATCACGTCTTATATATCTTTTTTTTTTTTTTAATAGGAGTCTCACTCTGTCACCCAGGCTGGAGTGCAGTGGCAAGCTCACAGCCACTGCAACCTTGTCCTGCTGGACTCAGACGATTCTTCCACTTCAACCTTCCAAATAACTGGAACCACAGCCACGTGCCACCATGTCCAGCTAAATTTTTTTTAATTGTAGAGATGAGGTCTTGCCAAGTTGTCTGGGCTGGTCTCAAATCCCTGGGCTCAGGCAATCCTCTCGCCTCTGCCTCCCAAAGTGCTGGATTACAGGCATTAGCCACCGCACCCAGCTTTTTAGATATGTTTATGCCTGTCCCTCAATACCTAGCAAAAGTCTTACACAGAAATCACAAGATATATCTTGTATGATTGACATCTGTGACTTGAATGAGATGCTGAGTTGTATAACCCAATATGGGGATTTGATTAGCTCTGAACAACTGTGGTCATCAGAGGGTCTCCTGGAACCAGAATTATGTCTAATTAACCACAAAGAACTGGAGCAACAAAACTCACTTGCCTAAGACACCCTCGCTTCTTTCTGATACACAAACACACATGCCACTTCTCTGAGTTTTATGTCTCCAGCATCCTGAAAACCAGGATTCTATTCTTTTTTTTTTGAGTTGGAGTCTGACTTTTTTTGGCCACCACCAAAACCTGCTGGGCTCCGGTGATCCTTCCGCCTCAGCCTTCCGAGTAGCTGGAATTACAGGTATGCACTACCATGCCTGGCTGATTTTTTGATTTATTGTAGAGATGAGGTCTTGCCAAGTTGCCCAGGCGGGTCTCGAACCCACGGGCTCAGGCAATCCACTCACCTCAGCCTCCCAAAGGCACGGGATTATAGGCTGAGCCACCAAGCCTGGCTTGGAGTCTGACTTTCTCTCCCAGGCTGGAGTGCAGTGGCATGCTCACAGCCACTACAGCCTCGACCTGCTGGGTTTAGGTGATCCTTCTGCCTTAGTCTTCCAAGTAGCTGGAACTACAGACACACACCACCATGCCTGGTTAATAGGATTCTTTTCTTAACCATCTTTTCTTCTTGGTCCTCAACTTCTCCCAAGACTAATTCAACTTCAGATACTGTCTATCTCCTAAGCTCTTGACATGTATTTTCTTTTTTTTGAGTTGGAGTCTCACTCTGTCACCCAGACTGGAGTGCAGTGGTCGCTCCTGGCCACCGCAGCCTCGACCTGCTGGGCTCTGGTGATCCTTCCTCCTCAGCCTTCCAAGTAGCTGGAACTACAGGCGCGCGTTACCACACCCGGCTAATTTTTTGATTTATTGTAGAGATGAGGGCTCTCCAAGTTGCCCAGGTGGGTCTCGAACCCGCGGGCTCAGGCAATTCACTCACCTCAGCTTCCCAAAGCACGGGATAACAGGCTGAGCCACCCAGCCCGGCTGACATGTATTTTCAACAATGTTTTGCACATCTCCACCTAGATGGAAATGTCGAACTCAACTGTCTTAAACTGAACTTACTAACACCATCTCTATCTTCAGAAATTACTATGGAGGCACTTTTCTCACTGCTTTGGGTTCTATTTATACATAAATAAGACTCAGTATGAAGTGTGCATTTTTGCCGGGTGCAGTGGCTCATGCTTATACAGCAATTCCAAAACTGGGAGGCTGACGTGGGAGGATTGCTTGAGCCCAGGAGTTTGAGATTACAGTACACTATGATCACACCACTGCATTCCAGCCAGGCAACAGAGGGAGATTCTGTCTCAAAGTAAAAAAGAAAGAAAGAAATGTATGTTTTGTAGGAATATAGCCCTGCTGATCTAATATACTAGCAATCTCTTTCTGCAAGTCAAAACCACCTCAACTGGCATACTGTTTGTATTCATTTCAGACTTTTAAGACTATATTGCTTAAACTTTGGAGATGAACTCTAGCTTGTCAATCAGTATAAAAGGTTACAATTTCAGTAGTTCTTTGGAATCCTCTCACCAAAGGACATTCCCAAACCACTCTGAATAAATCAGAAACAACATGCAAATCTAAGCCAGGTTTGTTTTTTACTACAATTTCCTAGCTCAGTGACCTCACTATCTATCCAATTGCTTGAACTAGAAATCTCAGAATAAGTCTCAGCTTTTTAAAAAAAATTTCCCTCATGAATGTCTCTCTAATCCATTCCCTCCTCTCCATTCCCACATCAAATGCGTTTCTCACCATCTTTTACTGGGACCTAGGGTTCCAGTAGCCTAATTGGACCTCTTCTCTCTCAAGACACATTCTCCTAAAACACAATTCAGATCACATACCTCAATTGATTAGAAATCTTTCATGCCACCCTGACTTTCCCAGTGATATTTTTAAAGCCAAAGTGATTCTTCTTGACAGGAAGATTTCCTTTACCCCTTGGCCCCATCTTTTTCCAGTCCTCTCATGCACCCTAGTCACCAATTCCAAGTCTGTGAGACATCTAGCTGCTGACTGAATACAGTACGCAATTTCAAGCTCACATATGGCCTGTGTGTACTCTTTCCTCAGCCTAGAATTCCTTCCTATTTCTTTCTTTCTCATAAACTCCTACTTGCACTCTAAGATCGAACTTAAATGTTCTCTATAAGGGGTTCCTTTTCCTGGTGTCAAAGGCAAAATTGCTCAATCCACCCTTCATGTTCCCACAGTACTTTATCATTATAATAAGCACATCATCATTGTAAGGTCAATCACATGAAATTTAAGTATTTTGAATTCTTCTGTCATGTTTACAGGTGAGCTCCCTGAGGACAGAAACCATATTTTGCTCCCCCCCCCAACCTGGTATTCAGCACATGCATAAATTGAATGGAGTTATAGCACCTGGGAGCATATTTTTCTTTTTTTATTCATTTACATATTTTTTTGGACCTGAAAGACTTAAACCACTTTAAAGACAGAATTTTAATGAGCATGTCTGTAATTCTTTGTTTTTCACTAGTCTTAATTCTTCTTCTCTTACCCATCTTCCTAGAATAGCAGACCCATGCTTGCTCCCTCCCTGGAACCCTCAGCAACCTTTTCATAGTCTCCTTCAAGGATATCAGGGTTGTGGTTTCATTGTCCATCTTCTTAAGGTAGAGTGAAAGAAAACAAAACAAAGCAAAACACAATCCCAATCGATGTTTGAATCCAGAAATTTCTGCTGTCTTCCACTCAGCAACAGGCAGCAGTATTGTGAGCAGTCGATCTAATTTCTGCCTGAAAGGTCACTTGGTATAAAAAGCTTTTAATAGCTTGTACATCCAAATATAGTTTCAAATAAGTGATCCTGTGAACACAGGTGTCCTGGACTGTACTGTGACATTTGCCTTTGAAAACTGAGCTATTGCTGGGCTCAGTGGCTCAGCCTATAATCCCGCACTTTGGGAGGCTGAGGTGAGTGGATTGCCTGAGCCCGCGGGTTCAAGACCCGCCTGGGCAACTTGGTGAGACCTCATCTCCACAATAAATAAAAAATTAGCCGGGCGTGGTAGCGTGCGCCTGTAGTTCCAGCTACTTGGAAGGCTGAGGTAGAAGGATCGCCGGAGCCCAGCAGGTCGAGGCTGCAGTGGCCAGGAGTGGCCACTGCACTCCAGTCTGGGAGACAGAGTAAGACTCCAACTCAAAAAAAAAAAGAAAGAAAGAAAGAAAAGTGAGCTATAGTACATCAGCACAGAGCAACAATCACATGTAATTATGACTGTGTATATAGTAAGTGTACATAGAGATTTTCAAATGTATACATATACTAGTATTAGACATGATAGAAAAGCTACTTTCATATTTTGAGAGCTCATTATTCAATTACAACCTAAATTAGGTTTAATGAGTACCCCAGATCTCTTATGATGATGATGACGTCAAGGCTAAGCATCTAACTAACCATCATTAGAAACTACTAAATTTTTTTTCTTTTTGAGTCAGAGTCCCACTCTGTTGTCCAGGCTGGAGTGCAGTGGCATGACCACAGCTCACCGTAGCATCTAGCTGCTGGGCTCAGGAGATCTTTCCACCTTAGCCTTCTGAGTAACTGGGACTACAGGTGTGTACCATCACGCCTGGCTCATTTTTTGATTATTTGTAGAGATGAGGTCTTGCTATGTTGGGTAGGCTGGTCTCAAACTCCTGGGTTCAAGCAATCTTCCTGCCTTGGCCTCCCATCGTGCTGGGGTTACAGGTGTGAGCCACCACACCTGGCCAGAAACTACTAAATCTTTTGTGTTTTTGTTTTGTTTTGAGTTGGGATCTCTCTCTGTTGCCAAGGCTGGAAGGCAGTGGCACAATCACAGCTCACTGCAGCCCCAAACTCCTGGCCTCAAGGGATCTTCCTGCCTCAGCCTCCCAAGTAGCTAGGACTACAGGTGTGCACCACCATGCTCAGCTAAGTTTTTGTTTTGTTTTGTTTTTGTTTTTGAGTTGGAGTCTCACTCTGTCACCCAGACTGGAGTGCAGTGGCCACTCCTGGCCACCAGAACCTCGACCTGCTGGGCTCCACCGATCCTTCCACCTCAGCCTGCCAAGTAGCTGGAACTACAGGTGTGCGCTACCATGCCCAGCTAATTTTTGATTTATTGTAGAGATGAAGTCTCGCCAATTTACCCAGGCGGGTCTCGAACCCATGGACTCAGGCAATCCACTCACCTCAGCCTCCCAAAGCACTTGGATTACAGGCTGAGACACCGAGCCCGGCTATCGGCTAAGTTTTAAATTTTTTTGTAAAGATAAGGGCTTGCTATGTTGCCTAGGCTGGTCTCAAACTCCTGGGCTCAAGCAATCCTCCCACCTTGGCCTCCCATAGTGCTGGGATTACAGGTGTGAGCCACCGCACCTAGCCAGAAACTACTAAATATCTATTGAGAGTCTTTAGTATTAGATCAAGAATTGAATATAAAAAGTACATAAAACAGGATTCCTGTTTTCATGGAATTTTAAATCTAATTGGGAATATAAAATATGTACTTAAAAAGAAAGCACATATAAAATATATGTTAAGTGGGTAAAGATCATAAAAATCACAGAAGATTCTTGAGTCATTAGAGAAATACTCTCACTGAAGGTGGAACTTGGCTTGCCCTTAAAGGAAAATACAGGTCTTTGATTATCAGAGAAGAGTGTGAAGGATGTTACAAACTGGAGAAGCAGTGTGTGAGCACAATCACAGAGGTGGCACAGTAAACGATGTCCTCAGGGAACAATCAGTGGGTATGTTTTCAGCAAAGATGCTGAAACTGCCTACATAAAATTCGCATCGTGCCATGGAGTAAAAGCTGTAGAAGAAACCCAAGCCCAGAAAAGCTGCAGCTATGGTTAGAATTTAACAAGTATGCTGTTTCCTGAGTTTGCTTTAACTCCAATAGAAAGTCATTGATTATCTTCATGTCATGACCCCTGGGGAGAAGGGAAGCTGCCTGTAAGGCTGATAAATGTATTTTATCTTAAACAAGGGCCTAAGACTGCACAGATCTCCTTGAGAAGAAAACCAGAGGTAGAAGCACAAAAGCAGCCCCAAACTCCAGGGACCCCCATCTCTCACATACTTTCCTTCTAAACCACCTCTATAATGACTCATTATCATTATAATAGCTGATGGTCATGGGACTTGTTTTATGGATAGTATCTACTGTAAAACCTAATAATGGAATTTGAGATATTTTGCAGATTCTGATGGACCTGAGGCCCCACCTGGGCCCAGAACACATACCAAGAAGATGGCTTCATCAATCCTGTGACTCCCCACTCTGTGACATGGAGACAGTTTCAACACCCTCAAAACATCATCAACCGTTCAGCAGCCCCTAGCCCCTACCCACCAAATTCCCTTTAATAACTCTAGCCTCTGGATTCTCAGAGAGGTAGATTTGAGAAATATCTCCCATTCTGCTCACTCAACTGCTCGGCCGTATTAAACTTTTTCTCTACTATAACGGCTACACCAGTCTTGGCATTTCTGGGCAGTGCGCATAGGAACTCAGTCAGGCTATAACATATTTATGCAAGAGAAAGAAAATAATGCTGGGCACAGTGGTTCATATCTGTAATCCAAACACTTTGGGAGGTGGAGGCGAGAGGATTGCCTGAGCCCTCGAGTTTAAGACCAGCCTGGGCAACATGGTGAGATATAGTCTCTACAATAAATCAAATAATTAGCCAGGCATGGTGGTGCATGCCTGTGGTTCCAGCTACTTGAAAGGTTGAAGTAGAAGGATTGCCTGAGCCCAGCAGGTCAAGGCTGTGGTGGCCATGAGTGTGGCCACTGTACTCCAGCCTGGGCAACAGAGTGAGACTCTGACAGAAAAAACTAACAACATTTAAACTGTTGAGAGTTGCATCATCGATTTGCTCATTTGCCAGAGTCCAGCGCCAGTGGGTCAGGGTTTCCTGAAGGAGGGATGGTGTTGGCACAGGAGAGAAAACTCGGACACTGACTCTGCTGCAAGCAGGACAAATGCCGATTTCTTGTTTTTTTCAACTCCTTTTATACCCTAGATTTTGGCTTGAGCCGAAAACATGTTTTTCGTTTTCAAGGCATTTAGTTTCAATTTAATGGGCTGGACAGGCAATGTATCTTTGTTCATCCTGTTTTGATCTTAAAAGATTATCGTCCTAAACATTAACTATAAATCTTATAAACTCCTAACATTTTTTAACGATTACCATTTCTTAATGTCCATACAAAACTTACTTATTCCTATAACTATTACATTATAAATCACTACCAAGTTCTAAGCACTATAATTGTCACATAGATTAACAAGTCACACCTGTGACCTTCACACAGCAATTTGCAACTATCTGGGGTAAAGCAACATTTTCAAGGTTTCTTAGCTGCAAGTTGGCCTGATTAGTTTTCCACAATGTTACACCTGGTATTTACAATCTGCATCAATTATCCCCTGTTAGGGAAAATGAGCTTCAACATTTGCAAAACAAAAGGCCTCTCGGGCTCAAGTCACTTTAGTCACAATCTCTAACCAGAATTACAAGCCTCCTTAACAAAGGGAAGTAAAGGCAAGGGTGCTCTAATAATTATGTGATTATTAATTTTGGTTTGTTTTTTTTTTTGAGTTGGAGTCTCACTCTGTCACCCAGACTGGAGTGCAGTGGTCAGGCCACTCCTGGCCACTGCAGCCTCAACCTGCTGGGCTCCGGCGATCCTTCCACCTCAGCCTTCCAAGTAGCTGGAATTACAGACACGTGCTACCACACCCGGCTAATTTTTTATTTATTGTAGAGATGAGGTCTCACCAAGTTGCCCAGGTAGGTCTCGAACCCACAGGCTCAGGCAATCCACTCACCTCAGCCTCCCAAGGCGTGGGCTTACACGCTGAGCCACCGAGCCCAGCTGATTGTTATTTTTTTAAGCATAATACACCACATGTAGAAATTAAGAAATTAAGTAAATGTCATTTTTGCATTGGCACTCTTTCTAAAAATACAAACTGTAGCTTCTCAAATTTCTCCAACTATTTGCCAATCAGAAGAAATAAAATCTTACAAGTAATTATCTACCCACACGTGATATTTAAAATATTGATAATTTCCTGGCAAGGCCAATGAGTTCCCTGACAAACATTAAAGTGAGTACTTTCTGATTTTTTACAATTTTCCCAACTACAATGTTTAATTAAGTGATTGCATGGTTTAATACCAGGAGGCCGGAGACGTGGAAACCTAGGGAGAAATTCAACTGAAGGGAAGGTAATTTTTCATGAATTCCCCTCTTGCCTTTTTGCAAGGGGTAGTGGAGGCATGAGTGGAATTTTGCTTTCCATCCTCAGACTGTACAGAACTTTTCGGCTGCACTAATAACAAAAGTAGATGAAGCAAGGGTCTCAGCTGCCGAGGTTCGCTTTGTGACCCGGGGTCTTCAGCCCCCTAGACTTTGTCAGCAGGCAGGCCTCCATGGCTGGCTCCCAACACTCATTCATTAAATGATAAATTCACTTATTTAATATTTACTGAACATTATCAATATTAATAGAATGGATAAAAACTATGAATGAATGAACAGTACTATTTCAGGCACTGGGAATACTGTGATGAATAAGGCAGAATCCTTATCCTGAAGGAGGATACTATTAAGGAAACAGCAAACAAGGATTACAATACAGGCGATGCTTCTAGAGAGCCTGGTAAGGTGTTTACACATACATAAAAATAACCTACCAGTGGTGTTAGGGTATAATGGTATAATATGCAATATATTTGTTTTTTGTCCCCATTCCTGTGATAAGCTCTGA